GTGTTCCTATCTTCCCGTTTTTTCTTCTAGACCCCTTTTTTTTGACTTTCAGCATTCTAACAATAAACAATTTGGAAGAAGACTCTTGGGATGGAAGAAGATGGAAAAGGGGGATGAGATGGTGTTTTTTGAAAAGAAGAAGAAGAATTATATTTTCAAAAGTGAGGGTGGAACAAAAAAGGAATTACTGTGCAAAATGAAAAAAAAACAAAATCAGATTTCAGAGAACTCAAGTATTTTTTACGAATACCAAAGAAAAACGGGTGGTGTCATTCATACACGCTCAAGTTACCCAAACGGATGTTGAGTGTATTTGAATCTCTAATTTCTCGGGACCTAACTTTCCGGTCATTTGGTTGAAGCATGTGGTTACAAGTGTTTTTCTTGGATTTTGTGAACCGTGATGAATTTAGTTGCTTACTACGATACATTCCGAAAATAAGTGGGGATTTCTTTTTCAAGCTACAAGAGCTGGAATGATGCTTAACAGTGATGATAACAGCATTTCATCAGATTACAGAAAAGTCCATGAATCATTGTTTTTTTAAATCGAAACATCTTCTAGATACCAATATTTGTAGTTTGTTTTCTTACGCGAGAAAAAACACTAGAAAACGGTAACATAGTTTTCGAGTAGTGAGTCAGAGGAAAGGAATGCAAAAAAAAAATACAAAAACATCTGAAGTCCGCATTGAGGCGATCAGAAAGCTAAGGAATGGAGCTATTGTAGTGGGTGTTAGTTCTAAGAACGACTCTAAATACAATAGGAATGTTAGTCGGTAGTGCGAATTACAAAAAATCAATTTTCGATTGTATTTCAGAAGCACTTATGAATGATTAGTGACTCAAAATATCGAGTTGTGTTGGGTGCAATATTAAAATTATGTTATTCTTGTACAAAAAAAATGTGGGAAGAGAAACGCCAGTGGCCGTGGCGGAAGGTCCCACACTACTATAATCTGAAAATAGTTTGATTTTCAAAATTTATTCTCTCGATTTTCACTGCTTTTTGTTTTGGGTTATTTTTCCCAAATAAGTCTGAAAGTTAGAATATGTATTGATAGTGAAAAATTGAATGAAAACACACGGAAATCGAGAAGATAAATCCGGAGAATGAAAATATTTTTAGGTTACGGTAGTTTTCGTTGTGGGAAATTCGGGCACGGTCACCGGAATTTCTCTTCCAGAGTTCCGAAATTCTTACCAGAAAAATGTTAGATAAAATATTAAGAGAGAGAGAATTATAATGCACATTTCCTAAAGATAAACTCGCTATTCCAAGAAAATTTCAACAACAAAGACCACCTTCTTAAAACTGCCAAAAAATTGAGAATCCATCTTCTGAAATTGTTTATCTCTACTCGGTTTCTTCTCCACCCATGACGTGTTCTGTCACATCAATCAAAGCCAAAAAAGAAGATTATGAGGAAAGAATTCCTCGGGTTTTCCAGTCCAGCACCTCCTTTTCTCTCTTGCCTGAAACGTGTCTGTGTGCCCGGCGGCAACGAAAACATGAGGAGCAAAAAAAATGAGTGTTCTTATTCCATTTTGGATTTGGCTAGGTTTTGCTTGTCTCTCTCCGTTCCCCTACTTAAAAAATGAGACAGTCCCCCTCATGAATTCCCTTTGGTATTTTCGAGACGTGGTATAGAAGAAGAAGAAGAAAATAAATTGGGATACAGAAGGCAGAAAGTCAAAGAAAAAACATACAATCCCGGAGGAATTATGAAAAAAAAACCGAAAAATATATTTACAGAAAAAGCTGAATAAGTTCTCATTTCAGTTTGGTTTTTGAAAATCTCGTTACCGCCACTTTGACGCCTCTTTTCATGAAAACTGGCACAAAAAAAGAAAAAGAATTGAGTCAGATTTTAGAAATGTGAAGATCTTTGAATGCTTGAGTAAAGTAGACAACTTGATAAAAAAGTGGGGCATTGAGATGTGAAAAAAGGGAAGCAGCAAAGGGGAAGTATTAAGAATTCATCGGGTATTCTACAGAAAATAAGTGTATAAGATTTGTTTATTTGCATGAATGCAAACCTCTTTTATTTATTAGAGGTCTCAAGGTTTTGCAAAAAGGAAACAAAACACCATCCGGTGTAGGCGGGCGATGTGATGAAAATGAACTTGAACCGCACGATATATTTGGATTCCAGAAGAAGGTGTAGTTTGGTTTGGCACATGTATTCTCTTTCAGAATAGGAAACGTGAGGGAAGAATAGGAAAAGATTGGCCTTCGGACTACAACGATCACATCTAATAGGTACATTGTAGAACCTGTAATAGAAGGGCCCTCTTACTCTCAATTTTTAGTCAATATCGGTTTTTGTCAAAGATTTGTGAAAAAAGTGTAATTAACAAAATACTTTTGATTTTATGATAAACATTTTATCAGTTGACTTATTTTCGATATCCTGTATAGGAGTCAAGAAAAATTAGCTCAAACTTGATAGTGTTGGGGCCCTTCGGAACAGGTCTCAGGAAACATGAAAAGAGGGATAATTAGAAAAATGAGGAACGTTTTGGATTACTGTGAATACTAAAGAAAAGGCACCAGGATTCAAAACTCATTTATCAATTATTTATTTTGTCATTAAACTTTGTTTGAAAGGGTCCTAGAGTTCTACTCAATGTACTCAAACTGAGAAGCAAGATCTGACGTTTTCCTGATTGGGATCCTACCCTTTTATTTAAATTTGGAACTGTGCGTCTTTTAGTTTTGCTATATTTCAATAGTTCGATGCTCCGTAGACCATACTTGTCACGGGCCGAGCCAAGTGAAAAATATTTCGGCCCTCTCCGGATCAGATTCGAAAAATTTCAATCGCTGAAGTTATTTTTCGACCCGGTCCTGACCGGGAACGGAATTCGACAAGTATGACATACAAACCTTAAAACAAGTGGAACTGGTATTGACCCGAAGAAGTGTAACTTTATTTGATAGATAGTCAGAGTTTAGTTCCCTCCAGTATATTGCTCTGATTTACCAGAGCTAGGATTACACTATTAGTAAGACAATACACAAATTGTCTGAATTTAGTCAAAGTCGACAGGAGAATCAGAAAGCTCCAGAAACGTTCAAACAATGTGATTGGCTACTTGAATTCTTGCATTTATATCAGCTCAGAGAGATTAATTGTAACATAGAAATTGAGACACAAGTGATTGGGCAATAAATAAAACAATTCCAATGTGCGTCAAGAGTTAATGTGAGAGAAATAGTAAAATCAATTGATGATACGTGATTCTCGAAACAAACATTTTAACGATATCAGAAGTGTGTAAAGAGTCTTGAAATTGCAGAGAGACCGAAGGTTCAATGGTTCATCAAATTGGTCCATGCCCTACATATGAGATTTTGAAAGGCAAAAAAGAAGAAGAAGAGGAAGGAATGAAGGAAAAGATTGGAGAAAAGAATGGCAGGAATTGAATTGGATAAAGATAAAGAGAAGAAAAAGTGTTGAAAGAGAAAAGAAATGTTTCAGAAATTAAATTGTCGTCCTTGTGCTCTGGAGGCAATTGAAATAAAAAAGAAACGATATAAAGGGTGTGGGGGATAGATAGATGGAGGAAGTCTCGATTGTATGTATCCCCTCTCCGCTCATTTGTGTTTTTTCTGGTCCCGGAAGTCATCCAGAAACTGTGTTTTCCCGTTTCCAGCTCTCACTCTTTTTTTAGCTCTTTCCAAAACTTGGGTCAACAAAGGATACACGGAATGAAGACGAAGCATGTGATTTTCGCTGCTTCAGGGCTTTATTTTGAACGGAACTCTCATGTGTGTATGGAAGATGAGAATGGATGGGCCCGCTTAAGGATTCGAATCAACAAGTTGTCGGAATAAAGAGGATTCTGTAATTGCAGATGCTCGAGTCTTGAAAGAAAAATAAAAGAATGAGGAACGGGACAAGTTAAACTAACAGAATCAAGACAGGATGAAATTAAGGATTCTGACGATCCAGAAGGAAGTATTTTTCTAATGATCATAAGATCGAAAGATCGACTCTACAGCAAGACATAGTTACTATGAAGAACATATAAGGAAGCATCGAAAATCCTGAAAGAGTACGATTGCAGTTTATGCGAGAAAAAAAAATGGAAAAATGCACAGCTCTCCAAAAATTCATTATTTTCATTTTCCGCCCCAAACTATTACTCCCATGGTGCTCAATTTTTATTTTGCAGTCATACTGCTCTAAAACAGCCCTAGAGACACAACAAACCTTAAAAGAGAGAAAAGACAACAAGAACACAGAATTTAAGACACACCGAATTTATTGGCCTAATTTTGCCTACAACGGAAACGATTCTGTTGCCAGAATCATCTCTGCCGACAAGAATACACCAGAATAATATTATATAAAAATATAGGTAAAAATAGGAACGAGAAACATGGGTTTTTGGGGAGAAACGAGAATGACTGAAGAGTATAAATTGATCCCAAAAGCGGGCGCATTTCCTTGGTTCGCGTCGACAGTTAGATGTGCAGGGTACAGTAATCCTCAAATTGGCGGGTGATTCAAATCGGCATTGTTGTGGGCCGCGTCGGCGTTGGTGAATATAATTACATAAAATACAGGGAATAAAAGAAGAATTAATTAAAAAGGAGAAAAAGTCGTGAAGAGGTGATATTCGGTCACCTGAATTCGCGACAATTTTTCAATGGTCGCTTTTCAGGAAGTTTCACATACACTTTAGAAGAGCAGACACATGTTACAAATCCTGTATTTTCATTGAATAATTGCTCGATTGTTCGAGAATATTTAATTCTTTGAACTTGGATAACAAGAATGAGATCAAAAAGAAAGAAACAGAGAAAAGTTTAACCTTATTTAAGAAATATAAAGAAGATCAAGAATGAGAAAAAATATCAGAAAAATCAAGAAGCGATAAGGTTGACATTGGCATCGTCTCCACTTCGCAAAAAAAGAAACTACAGTAATCAGCAATTATTAATGAAACTTTATTCAAGAGACACAATTACAATACAGAGTTATCGTTCCTCAAACTTTAATAAACGCCTTAATGAATTCCTTATCAGCTTTCGCAGCATCCGTGTTCAGATCGTTTGCAATCGCGGGAGCTGCTTTTGCTTTGGCAGTTGCTGGAAGTGGTCCAGGCATCATTTGTTGGAATGAAATCTCCAAGTTCGCGTTGAGACAAACCACTGCGGCTGCGTTTGTGAACTGAGCACAATAGTTTGGAACCGAGAATACAGTAATCAAACGACGTCCTGTCATCATTTCATATCCATCTTGAACAACTTGATGCGCACGAATTATGAGATCGATTTCCATTGTTTTACATGCTTGCTCAACGACTCCTTTTCCAAACATGTAACTGATTCCTGAAAAAGAGAAATTCAAAACTTTGAATCTGTTTTAAAAACCTCTAATAGAATGGAACCATCCATCTCCCTTGTTTGTCGGATCCGACCACAACAAGTCAATGAGCAATCCTCGATCCAGTGGTTCACATGGACGTGGAATATTTCTGATGGTGTCGAGATTAACAAGTTCAGGAGACAATCCTCCGTGCATACACAACACTTTCTTCGATATCAATCCAGCCATTGGCATACGATTGAAACAAGACTGGAAATCCCACCAGATTCCGACGCCATACTTCACTTGACACTCCACGTAGAACCCATAAATCTTGTTGACTGAAGGTGTTTCATGATTTCCGCGCAACAAGTAAATACGGTCTCGATAACGGATCTTGAGGCAGAAAAGGAGCATAACAACTTCGATTCCTTGTGGTCCACGATCGACGTAGTCACCCAAGAACATGAGTTTTTCCTCGGGAACTCTTCCGATCAAATCGAAAAGACGATTGAGATCTTGGAATTGGGCATGAATGTCCCCGACAACTTTGATAGGCGCTTCTGCTTCACAAAGATTGCTCTCATCCATAAAAATGTGCTCCACGAGTCGAATAATTGCAATGATTTCGTGTCCAGACATCACATTACAAATATTTGCACCATCTTTATTGTTATAAAGTGTGTTGAGTCTTTTGATGCAATCATCCATCCATTCCGCACATTTCGGGTCGACTTTCGCCAAATCCATTTTTGGAATCTCTGTTTTAGAAATTTCTGAAATTAAAATAAGTTTTCCGGATAAAAAGACGTTGTATTTTTTCACCTTTCGATCCTGATTTGCTGTTATTCTCGGAACTCATTACACGACAATTCGGCTCGACGATTCCAGCTTTCTTTGAGAACTGATTTGCTTTTTTTGATGTATCTTTTGGTGTTGCTGTCAGTCAATGAAACAAAGTATGGGAAGCTTGTTCACGGATAAATTGGAAAACTACTTTCACTTTTTTTGTAAATGACCTAGTACTTCTGTTTTGGTATTATGCAAGTAGAAAAAATTGAGGATGTGGAAAGGAAACGCCGGTGGCCGTGGCCGAAGATACCACAACGACAACTACCGTAAACCTAAAATATTTTTATTCCCTTTATTTTCTCGGTTTTTACTGCTTTTTGTCGGATTTTCTGTTTTTTCAGCTAGAAAAGTCGCAAAATAAAAAATTTTGGCAGTGCAAGAATTACTTGAAAATGCACGAAAATCGAGAAAAGGAATCCGGAAAATAAACATATTTTTAGGTTACGGTAGTTGTCGTTGTGAGAAAATAGTTCCGATTCTATGTACCAGAAAAAAAATCTTTTTTTCGCAAGTAGTGCTTTTGTTCAAAAAAATGTATGACTTGATTTAAAGAATAACAAATTATTCAATTAGTATGTCGTGTGAAGAGTTCCAACTCTTGATACTTCTTTCATACAAGCCACTTGTTGTTTCTTTTTGAAAATTGGATGAGTCAGGTAGAAAATCCATGGAGCGAAGACAATTTCACAGTCGTTGGCAAATGGTCGGAGAGCGATAAAGTAGACAGTTAAAGAGGGAAGAATTAGGAAAATCATCTGAAAAGTTTTGATTGTTTTTTTTTAAATTGAGAATTCTTAACTGACAGCACAAAACAAATTGGTGAGAAAAGAGAGTAACATGGAGAATGTAGTCAATGTTAGAGACATTTCTGCTCTTTGAAGTATTACACTTTTGCGATTACTTTTCAATTTCTTCAGTTTTTTATATAGCATCAAGTTGGATATGGAGCATAAAATGAGCCAGATTGCTAGGTTCAGTACGATCCCATTTATCAGCTTCAACTGAGAAACAAAAAAAAATTAAAAACATAAGATTTGAAATTGGAAACTAACATCAAACCAGTTTCCAGTGAACCAAATGAAAATGGCTCCAAACTGATAAGGACCCAGCAATTGTCGACAAGTTCCCATAGCCGGAATAAGTGTAAATGTGAATATCAATGGATAAAAGTAAATTGAAGGAAGAGCGAACTTTGTAATTCTGGCGCAAAGCTGGAAATCGTTAAATTTGAAAGCCTATGCTGCAATTTTCTCACCTCGCTGTGCTTACGGGGAAAATAAACAGGAATCAGTCGGAGAGCCGACAATAGAAAAGGGAATAACCAGGATATGAATGTGAAATAAATGGAGAAAAAGAAAAGGAGTTTCAGAAGATGATTGGGCTCTTGTGATGCACACCATGATGTAAGAATACCAGAGAATGGAAGACGAATTGTTATGTAATCTGATATCATGTAGAAGATACTCTGGAAATGAAATTATGAAAACTGATAGGAACATACCGGTCAATGAGATATAGAAATACGTATTTCTCAATTGATTGTCGTCCATTCTGACAATTTTCAAGAGCGGGGAGCTCGACTGTCAAGTTTCCGATCACTTTGAAAATATTGGAAGTTATAAGACACCTAGGTTAAAAACATTGCTTTTATAAAACTTTTCGAAAATTTCCAGCTTTTCAGCTAACGACCAAATTCTAAAAGACACCTATTTTTGACCTATTTTTTACTGAACACGTGAAAAAAATCATGTGTCCTTGATATCTACAAAGAGCTGAAAAGTAGGAATTTTCTGAAAGTTCTGCGAATCCAAGGTTTTCAATCTAGGTCACATCCTCCAAATGTTTCAATGTGATCGAAAACTTGAAAATCGAGCTCCAGACACCTGAAAATAATTAAAATGGCCGAAAATAATCTGAAAAATACTTTTTGTATATAATATTAAGAAACATTACCGTAATCTGTGAAGCAACAATAACCAAAAACACATGGGGGTTTATAGTGTCATCTCTTTTTCCCAAAAATTGTCGAATGTAAACTTTGAATACTTTGAATATAATAAAAAAAGTTGGAATGAGATAGGACAATGGGATACAAGCCACAAGAACTGGAAATGTGAAAAAGTTGAATTCGTAATTGATATAAAAAAGATTTCCTTGAATTGATACATTGTTCATATCCATAAATGAGCTACTGAAAATCGTTGTTTTCTATACTTGACAAAAATTATAGAAAAGCATGATAGAAAGAAAAACGAAGACATTTTGAGTGCATTTTGAGTTGAAACCTGACTCTAATTGATACTTACAAAATGCCTCATGACGTTTTCAAAAACGCACGTTGTCAGAAGTTTCCAAACACTTCCCCGATGAAAAAAATATTTATTGATTTAGAAAAAAGGTTGAAGACTAAAAAGGACTCACCCGACGGAATTAAATCCTTTTAGCTTTTTATTGAGTTATTTTTATTTCCTTATTGCCTCGCACTGATTAAATCGCTGTTTTTTTTTCTGTCTGCGTATTTTCAGTTTGACTAATTCTTGGAAAAAAATCAGGATGATCAAAAACGCTAGATTTTTATTAGAACAACTTCAGAATAAAGAACACAAATAGAAAAAGAGATACACCGAGCTGCTGCAATTTCAGAATATTTCTTGAAAAAAAAGAAGCTAGACATAACGCCAAAGATTTGGAGAAGGACTGTGCAATTAAAGGTGGTGTGCGGTGAAAAATTTTATTGCTTCATTTTGTGCAGAAATCCATGTAGATTCCCATAAAAATAAAGAAAAAGTTCAAAAAAATGCCTTCCTTGAGAAAAACGGCATCGAAAAGTCAAAGTTGTATCTGATGGCCTAGCGACCAGGTGAGAGTTTTCTAGGCCAACTGCCGGTAAAAGCGCGCGAAGTTCGAATTTTTATTGATTTTCAGTGTTTTCTCTGATTTTTGTCAGGTTTTTTCATACACCTGGGAGGAAATTAACAATAAAACTTTGAAATCTTTAAAAACGCTAGAGAAAACACTGAAAATCTATAAAAAAATCGAATTTCGCGCGCTTTTACCGGCAGTTGGCCTAGAAAACTCTCACCTGGCCGCTAGGCCACCAGATACGACTTTGATTTTTCGATGCCGTTTTTCTCACTGAAGGAATTTTTTTGAATTTTTTCTTGATTTTTATGGGAATCTACATGGGTTTTTGCACAAAATGAAGCAATAAAATTTTTCACCGCACACCACCTTTAAGAATATGATATTAACACAAAAATGAATCATCTGGGTATAATTGAATACTTTCTATTTTTTGGGAAAATTCAGACTGTAGTCTACATTTAAGGAGGAAGTAGTCTGAAAACATGAAAAAGATACCTTTATCCCACTTGCAAAATCGAGCCTGGCCAGCTGGTCTAGCCTGGCTGGGATTGCGATTTCCAGGGCCTGAGTTTCCCACATTTGAAAAATTTGTAATTTCAGAGATTTTTCATGTATTTTCAATGGCATCCCATTAAATTTTTTCTATTAACCCCGAAAATTATTTGAGGAGACATGACAAAAATTTCTTGAAACCTCGGACCCGAACGGGCCGGGCCCTGAAAATTCTGAAAAAAAAGCCCGGCCCAACCAAGTATGACCTTAATTGCTGACGGAGTAAATAAAAACAAAACTTTTATTGATGATATAGTGAATAAAAACTTATTACAAATGTACTACAAACGTACTACGTCTATTAACTCAATGAATGCTAAAGTTTGAGCTCAATTATCTCAGCTCCTATGAGAGATATCAAAAAGGTGTCAACTGAGAAAATGCATAGGATATTATGATAAACAATTTATCAGTTGACAAATGTTTATATCTTTAGCAGGAACCGAGATGAATTGGCTCAAAGTTAATAATTAGGTGGCCCTTTTATTACAGGTTTTACGGTAGTTTATTTGAATTTTAAAATAATTTTCCTAAATAGTCGGAAAGAAAATAATTAATACAAACATGTTTGAACAAAACACAGAAAATATAAGATGTTTGGAAGACGGAAAACGGAAGATGAAACTCCGTGCACATCGGTGGTTATAATTTCAGCAAAAAATTGCAGATTTATTGAAACACAGTAAAGTTATGTGAGGTTAAACCTTTGTGTACTGGAAGATGGATTCGATCCGGGTTTGATTCTAAATGCGGGATGAGTCAAATAGAAAACCCATGGCGTAACACACGTTTCCAAATCATTTCCATACGGACGAAGAAATGATGTATATATACCGAGTTGATAGTCAATTAGAAATGTTCCCTGGTATAAAATATGTTTGAATTTATACTTCATCATGCAATTCCTTATCTGAAAAATTAGATTCACCAGATATGCCAAAACCATGGTAATAGTTGTGATACTCAAGGAAAACTCTGCTTTCTTATATTTTGTACTCCGATTTGTGTGCCTTTAAATTCTAGAATCTACTAGCGATACAGAAAAGTGCATAGGGCGCTCCATACCCTCACTTCCGTCCAAAACCACTGGTCAGAAACCGCGCTTCAGCGAACGTGATTTGGGGTATCACGGTGAGTTTTTCACTACCGCTGCTTCAACTTTGGATTTTTTTTCTCGAATTCTAGTCCATAACTTTTTTTCTGTTCCATAAATTTTTAGTAAGTTTTATGAAGAATATATAGTAAAAAAATGAATCAGATTTTTTTTTGTCCGTTGTACTTTAAAACGTCGCAGACTGTTTCGCATCCGGTAGTGAAAAACTCACTGTGGGGTTTCTTATTTTTCTATCTTTTCGTTGGCTGAGTATCAAACGTACAACGATGAGCGAAAAAGCGCATGTTAAATTTTTTAAAATGTGCGGTGGAGCGCACTACGCATATTTGGATCTGTGGTACTGTTGCAAAACTGAAATTACCACGGGGAAGTACCACTCAGTTTGTGAAGCTCTCGATGCAAACAAACATTGCTCACAAGATAAATTACAAACCAAAATGAAGTGTTCAGCATTTGGAATGGCATGTTTATTAACTGAAGTTCCATAGGATTTTGTAGGTAATTTTTCGAGGAACTCACTCCATGCCAAGATTCAATGAAATGAATGAATGCAGATCCAAATGGATACGGTGGTTTTAATTGACGGCAGACACCAAGAGCTGGGAACATGAAAAATAGAAAGGGAAATGGATAGAAGTGGATTATTGGAATACTGAAGGAGAGGATTTTAGTGTTGAGCTGGAAGAAAATGGTTGAATTTTTTTTGTTGTTGATTAGTTCCAAACTTACTAGATGGTGTTTATGAGGGTAATGAATAGGAGTGTATCTCACTATAGCGAGTAAAACTGGGTAAATCATTAGAGGATAGCTGAAATACATGTGGGATGTGAAGAAAATCGTCAGGTTGAGGTTTGGTGGGTTTCGTTGGCACCAAGAAGTCAAAATTCCTGTGGATGGAAGACGGATCATCACGAAATCACAGAAGAAATAACAGAGACACTAAAAACAGAAAGGTATAAAAATCAAGGAATATTCTTGAACTTACTGTTAGTTGGGATAAAATGATAACAAGGAAAACGTTCCTGTTGATTGTTTCATCATGTTTTCTAACTCCTTTCTTGATGAAAACTTCGATTATGCGAAATGTAACAAAACAAGTTGGAATCATGTACAAAAATGGGAAAATAGACAGAAGAACGGGAAATGTTCGAAAGTCAAACTGATAATTAGAGTAGTTGGAATTCAAGTTTATTATAACTCCCACATCTTCGTTCAACATTTTTTATAAGGTAAGACAGACGAGATCTCGAAAGGGAACCTAAGAAAAGTAATTGGATCCCTTTCTAGTAAATTTAATTTGTTGTGACTTTGAGTGAACACATGCTCGAAAACACAAGCCAAGGTGAAAGAATCGACGATGCTCATGAAAACATAGAGGAACACAGAAAAAACATTTATTTTGTTTTTATTTTTGCGAAAAAGAACGAAGGATATATATATATATATATATATATATATATATACGTCTTTAAAAAATGGGAAGTTACGAAAATGAGTATATTTGTGTTTTTCTTCAAATACGGACCAAAGTTGTAAACAGAAGGTAATTAAATGAAGATATAATATACTTGTTATACAACTTTTACGAAGAAAAAACAGTGTGGAGGAACAGAATATGTATAGGATGTGCAATTCAATTACAATTACTGAAAATGCATTTTCCAAAAGATTAAAGAATACGATTTCAGTAATCAACGCTTTTTATGGTTTTCTTATTTGCAGCGACCACAATTTTGCTATCTTTCCGTTTTCGAAATGCCGGATGAGTCAAGTAGAATACCCAGGGAGCTGCACATAATTCCAGATCAAAACCAAACGGACGAATAACAACCAGATACGTAGCGACGTCATAATCAATCAAGAATGCTCCCTGAATTGATGTTACTATAGATATTCGTTGATTCCGAAATCGCATTTGGTCCAAACATAAAGACTTACTAGAAAGATAAGGTGTGCTATGTATGCAGATAACATTGCAAAAGTCGTAATTGATAAAGATATTTCAATTGTCCGATTTTTGTTAATTTGACTTGTTTGTGAAGAACTTTGAGACAACGATTTCAATTCTCTCAGCTTTCGATATAAAATCCAATTCAGAATCAAACAGACCGTCAGCCAAACCGCAGAGTTTAAAACTGTAAATGGAGCGCCCATCATCTGAAAAATATAAAAACTTCGAAGTTTTTCATTCCCACAGGTTCATACTCCTCTCCATGAGTTTATAATGTGCACATAAACAGCTCCCAATTTATACGGAGCGAAATGTTGCCTGCAAACTCCTAGTGCTGGGATCAGATATAAATTAAAAAGTAGAGGCCAAATATGAATTAGAGGTATACTGTACTTTAATATTTTTGTATTTATCTGGAATCACAATTAAAATTAATTTTTCTAGATAACTTCATCCTCACGTCATTGTGTCGATTTGGTAAATAAGTAATAACTAGACGAATAATAGAAAACAAAACCGGATAGAGCATAGCGCAGTAATTAAAATAAGATTGTGATATGAAAAGAATTTTCAGAAATTCGTTGGGTTCTTGACGATAACACCAGGATGTCATCATGCCAGTCGACGGGACGCGCATGACAAATAAGTCAGCGAGAAAAAAACCAATGTTCTGAAAATGATCCTAGTAATCAGTTAACTGCATAAAATAAACTCACTGAGAACTGAGAGAGTACCAGAACTATGAAGACATGCCGATTGAAACTTGGATCTTTCTTTCTGAATACATTTCGCAAAAATTTTCGAATGATTCGAAATACGATAATAAATGTTGGAATGATATAAACAAACGGAGCAAAAGCTAGAAAACAAGTGATTGTGTAGGGATTGAATTGGAAATCAGTGTAACTTGAATTCAAATTGACAACAATTCCCAATTCCTTGTTACTCATATTCGATGAATGAAGGAAGTTATATAGACTAGATTGCAGGAACCTCCAGTCAATCAAATCAGTATCGGCCTAATTGAATTTGATTGAATTCCAATTACTTAGTCAGAATATTATGAATGGTTATTCTTTTATTTTTTTCATAATCTTTATTTTTCAGTTTTTCCTCTTTTTCTCTTATTGTCACAGATCTTTGGGTTCAAAAAGTTTATAAGAGACAATGAATCAATTTATTTAATTGACCGTTAAGAAAAAATATCCATTGAAAATTGAGGAATTTAAATAGTAGTATGAAGTGTCCTGACTCTTGAAACTTCGTTTGAAAACAGCTTCTTCTTGAATGCAGGATGAGTCAAATAGAATATCCAAGGAACAAGAACAGTATCACAGTCATTACCGAAAGGACGAAGAGCAACTACATATGTAGATAATGGAGGATGTATTATAAACATAATCTGAAAAGTTTCTTTATTTTGTAAATTCCTTCTTTGTGCTCACCACAAAAATCAGATTGGTAATGTAAGCAGACAACATAGAAAGCGTTGTAAAAGTCAGCGAGGATTCAGCTCTCTGCAGTTTGACACTTTTTCTTTTATTTCTAATTGTCTTCAATTTCCCATAAAGTAAAATATTGGCTGCTGTAGACAAGACCAGAAAGAATACAACGTTTAAAACCAGTAGATTAGCCAGTTTCAGCTGTAAATTTAAATTTTGGGAATACATATTTTAGAGAAAATTACATTGAACCAATTTCCACTGAAAAATATATAAATAGCTCCGAACTGATATGGACCAAGAAGTTGTCGACAAAATCCAAGAGCCGGTATTAGAGTGAATGTGAATAGGAATGGATAAATAAACACACAGGGTGTCGAGAATTTGACAATTTTCTCACAAATCTGAAAATTTCTCATATATTTATGTCTAGAAACGTTTTCTGTGTAACCTCTTTATGCTTATTGGGGTAATAAACTGGGACAAGTCGTAATAATGATAACAAAAATGGGAACAGCATGGATGTATAATTGAAGTATATTGAAAAAAAGAAGATAACTTTCAAAAAATGATTGGGTTCTTGTGATGCACACCAAGATGTCATGATTCCTGTAGATGGAAGTCGGATAGTGAAATAATCAAAGACCATATAATAGAATCCCTGAAACTTGAATTGTTTCAGATGAAAGAATTATAATTATAAGCAAGGATATAAGCAAGGATTCATATAAGCAAGGATTCCTACCATCAATTGTGAGAGAACAATCACAAAAAATACATGCGGATTCATGAGTTCATCTCTTTTTGTGATCAATTGTCTACAGTAGACTCTGACAATTTCAATCATAACGAAAATTGTTGGAAGAAGATAAATAAGTGGAATGGATGCGCATAAAACAGGAAGTGTAAACCAATCGAATTCATAATTGATATATCGGAGGTCTCCTTGAATAGACACATTATTCATTTTTTATTCAGCTGATTCTGAAAACTCAAGTCAGATTAATAATGCAGTTCGAATGAAACCAAATCATAATAGAAAACGCATAAGACGAAAGATTATTTTCTCCGAAAGGCGACAGGTGAGAAATAAAAAAAGAAGTCCTAAAGCAAGAGAGTTGAATGTTAGTGCACCATTCAACTTCCAATTAGTTCTTCAACTTTCTCTTTTTCGCGGCATTTTGTCTCTCATTCTCAGCATTTAAATTTAGCCAGACGCCAATTTTTTCATCTAATTCTTATGACGTTTTTAACAAAGCTTTCTTTACGGAGCAAGTTTGAAGAGTTCAAAAATGGATGCGACCTCAGTATAGAATTTGGGAGAAGATAGAAACGCTGTGATTATTCGTCACGCAGTCTCCGATTTTCTGAATTATCACTATTTTACCATCCTGTATGCGTCTCTGGCGCTTCAAACAGCGGGTTGGTGCGCTTTCGGCACAATTTCATCTATTTATTTTGCTGTTGAATACTCATGAAAACCAAACTGTTGTAGTGACCAAAATGATATTTATAAATTCTACAGTAAATACTTTAAGTTTCAGGTTTTTTCGGAGACCAAATTTAGATACGAATTACTGCAGTACTTTCCTTTCTGCCAATTGGAGATATTTGAACTTTGGAAAGCAAGAATTTTCGAGACTGTTACTGCCAGTTTGTTGTCAGGCTTGTAAATTCTGCACAGAAATTGAGAGGGTTTGGATGGGTATTGGTCAGGTATAGCGGGGTATGGTCAGATGGGATGAACTCTTCGGTAGACGGGTGCTCTTCGTGGACGACGGACCCGCGAGAATCTTTCCAGTGTGGATTAGTCTCATGTGAGAACATTACTTCAAAGTATAATACATAGAAGTTGAAAAAGAAACGACATCAGGCAAAACAGTTTTATTCTATTAGGCACCAGGACGGAAAATGAAAATTTGTCTAACTATCTTTTTTCGGAAAACAGGATGTGTGAGATAAAAAACCCAAGGAACGACACAGGTAACCAGATCATTTCCAAATGGACGGAACATTATGGCATAATAGAGATAGTCTGGGAAGAAGAATCTCGAAATCTGAAAATATTATGACTAAATTATCTTTTTAGTGTCAGACATACCAAGAAAATTCCGTTGGAAAGAAAAAAGAAAATCATAGAAAAAGTCATCAAAGTCAACGATCGTTCTTCTTTGTAAGAGAATTGAGATCTGACACGGGCTGATAGTGAACACCTTGCTTTTATCAGTTTCACAAGAAGAATCCAATTATTTATCATGGATGCAGTCATCCAGAAACCAGTAATGAAGAGTAGTAAGCGGCTATTGGCAAGCTGGAAAATAGTTGAAAATCTTTTCGAGAAACGAAAATCTGACATACTCCAAATAAAGTATTTTCTATTCTGAAAATAATTGCACCGAATGGGAACGGATGTTTTGCCGAACTACAGTAACCTAGCGCAGGAAACATGAAAAATGTAAGAAGAAATGGATAAAAAAGAAGGAAAGGCAGGAGAAAACGAAGAAGTCGTCCATTGAGCTGTAAAAAAGATATTTTGAAGCACTGATTATGGTTGATTACGCTCTTATGTCTCGTTGGATATAACAACAAAATGAGTCGCATTGTAGAAACAGCACATGGAAAAATCATCGCAGAGTAATTTATATGATATTTGAAAATGAAGAACGCTGTCAGGTATCGATTTGGTTTCATTCTTGCACACCAGCTAGTAAAAATACCAGTTGTGGGAAGACGGATGAAAAAGAAATCAGATATGAAGATGATTAAAGACTGAAATAATTACTGATTGTGGTTCTGCTTGATCAAATATCTCACCATAAAACTAGACATAGAAATTACAGTAAACAGCTGAATATTTTCATTTCTGTCCTGAATTGCAAAATACAACTTTACAAGAGTTCTCAGAATAATAACAACAGTGATAGGAATATAAATAATAGGAACGAAGAGAAGATACATTGGAAGTGTGAAGAATGAGAACTCGAAATTCGTAAATGTCGCATTTCCATGAATACCAACTGCAGACGACTCCATAGTCAAGTCGATAGAAAGAACAATGTAAAGGAGAAGTGATTATTGGAAAAATCTAGAATATCGAAAACATCGAATAACCTTTTCCAACTGTTTTCCGATTTATCATCACTTCATTGAAGGAGGAAGAAAAAGAAGAATAAGATAACGTGCCTAAACTGAAAACAAGAAAAACTTAACCTATAATTTCAATATGAAAAACATGGAAAATCTAAAATCTAGCCAAAGTGTTGTTAGGTTTTTCAGATAGATCAAACGAAAATCTTATCAAAATTATACATTTATCATTTCAAGAAATCACTGATCATAATGAGAATTTAAATTTAGAGTTTTATAAACATCACTTGTGAAACTGGCATTTTCTAGAAATGTAAACTCCTTCCAATAATCAGTCTTTATGCAAACAACTGAGCTTTGAAATATTAGGTTGGCTAAAAAATAATGCGGGTTTTTACGATCAATTAATTTTATTATAAAAAAGGAAGTAGACAATATTAATCCAAAAGGTATTCTCCATCATTATCAATAACTTGTCGCCAACGTCCGTGCAAAGAGTGGATTCCATTGTGAAAGAACTCCGCCGGCTGCGACTCAAAGTAGGCGACCACCCATTTTTCGATTTCATCGCGGCTTTTGAAGTGCTTCTCTTCGGCTAATGAATGTTGCATCGATCTGAATAAGTGGAAATCGGAAGGTGCCAAATCAGGGCTATATGGCGGATGCCCAAGTACTTCCCAGCCCAGTTCCTCGATTTTCTGCTGACGCTAACAGGTACACTGTAGTAAAATTATCGTTAGTCTCGACGCGATAGCTTTAAATTGAACTGCTGAGTCTTACGGTTTTGGACCTGCATTCCATCAAAAAAAATGCGGGAAAAAAAATATTTCGAAAAACGTTCCGGAAAAAAACACCGTGTCGTGAAGGAACTTTGTCGTTGATGTATCCACACCTAGACGTCTCAACGCTTGCTGAACTTGATCCAATTGACGTTTGTAGAGATCAGCAGTGACAGTTTGACCCTTTTCCAGAACTTCAAAATATACAAGACCCTTGCTATTCCACCATACACATAGCATTACTTCCTTCCCGTGTGTCTCTGGTTTCGTAGTTGTTTTGGCCTGTTCTCCGGTAGACAACCATTGTCTCTTTCGAATTAGTATTATCGTATTCAATCCATTTTTCATCCGACGTGACGAGGGAATCAAAAAATCGCCTGTTCTTCGAGCGATGGAGGAGAGTTCCGCTGAGGGCGACGCGTGCCGCCTTGTTCGCCGGGAGAGATCATGTGGGACAAATTTTCCGCACTTGTTCGACTTTCCTATTCCGTGCAAATTGTTTTCAATAGTGCCATGTGTACAAGAAAACTGTGCTGCAAGATTTCGAGTCGTTTGACAAGGATCCGATTCGATTGCGTTCCTCAAGAGTTCGTCGTCAATAATTTCTGGTCGACCGGTGTGTTCATGGTCTTCCAAGCTTTCATCACCATTCCGAAAACGCCCAAACCAGCGTTGGCATTGACTCTCCGATAGAAGATTATTTTTGAATACTTTTGGCAGAGCACGATGAGCTTCCGTAGCGTTTTTACCCAACTTGAATTCGTACCACAAACAAACTCTCATGCGAATTCTTTCGGATGACATTTTCTGAAAAAAAATTATTTATTGAAAAAACAGAATAAGTAACCAACTTTATATATGAAACGATGCGCAAAGAAATGGCCTTTCGAATAAAAAAAATGAAAAAGCAAAAATGTTTTGGGGGAAGAGAAATACGCCACGACAAACGCGCCACGCATTATTTTTTAGCCAAAAATAGAAAATAGATTCAGCATACAGTACACAATATATCAGTATATCAGCAAGATCCAAAAAACTAATATGATATTCTCATCCTTTTCGTGGCATCCCATGAAGCTTATGGTTCTCCGACCCAACTCTTCCGATTACTTCACAACTGTTATACATGTTTGAAATTCTATCACAAGTCATGTAAAATACTTTTTTTCGAGTTTGATGTTTTTTTCACTTTAAGTTTAACTCGTTATTGAGCACCCTCTCCTCAATCCCGTTCTCTGGTGTTATAGAAGTCTAATCCCAAAATTTCAGCTAAAAATCTTCATTCAATCCCGAGTTACAGACCCTTTTGTACCAGACCTCCATGTACTGACTTTCTCCTCATTTTTTTGCGGTGCGCAGAAAAGTGGGAGGGGTTTAGAACCTTGCATCCTTTGTGGAAGCAATAGATGGGAGTGAGAAAAGGGCGGCTTTTCGTTGCCTGTCGCCTCCTTCCCGTGTGGTCTCCTTCCTATTGTTTTAATGAATTGTTCTATGAAAAATGAGAAAACAGACGTTTTTCATTATAAGGCCGTCGGTAGAATTTTTTAATTATGATTAATCTTAGTGGCAAATTTTGTGTAGAATCTTGTGGTGAAAAGAAAATCGGTGGCGCTCACCTGTGTCACCGTCAAAACTTCCAAAAACCAAAAATTTTGAAAGTTTGGAATTTTCGGATGAGTATTAAAACTACTTAGAGGTATCCAATCTTTCTGAAAATTGGCAGAGGCATACACAAAACTTAGTTTTATCATAATATGCAAAAAAAAAGTTGGGGTCATCGCTGAAATTTTTTATGAATTTTAGCTGGAACTTTGGCTGAAAATTGTGAAACAATGGCGTCGGTAGAATTTTGATTTTACTTCAAAATCCACTTCCTTATTTCATAAACTACCAGAATCCACAAAAAAATCCGGTGGCGCGAACTTCCATCAGTCCCACTCCTATTTTTCGAAGTTTTCGAATCAAAACAATGAAGTTATCAAAACACTGATAATTCCATTCGATTTTTCGCAGTCGATTACATAGGGACAAGTTCTAACCTTAAAAATAATGAGTTTCTAACGCCCGGTACAAGACTTCAAAGATGGACTTCGGAAAAAGGGAGAAAAATTTGTTCGCCCCGTCCCTTTTCATTGCGGCGCCTAATTACAGTTAACTCAACAGAATGAAAACTAATACTTGAATTTATTGTTCCCATGTATTCCAAGAGGTGTTTTTGATGGCTCATCCCTCAATAAACTTTTTGAAAAAGTAAAAAATAAGCTGGAGAAAAAGATAATTGCTTTGTTGTTTGTGCAACATACATCGGTGATAATTACTAGTTTTTTGGGTGCAGCTTCCGTACACATTGATATTCAGACACCGATTTACACGGAAGTACTCTCAAGAGATGTTATTTGAATTCGATTGAGTTGAGTCACCGTCTGAAGATTTAAAAGGACAAGAGTAGATTTTTCAAGAGACCAAGAGAGATAACTATTTTCGGTGAAATCATAAAAAAAGGATGAAGCTAGAGATTGTAACCTTCTTGATTGTTCAATTTATTGTCTGAAAATCACTCAAATCCATAAATTCAAATCGATAAAAAGGGGGAAAAGCTAGAATTTGTAACAAGTTCATTCGAATACATATTGAAATGTTTAAGAATCAACTTAAGACTGGAGTTTTTCGTTTTGGTTAACATGAATCACATTATTAGTTTTTCTTCTGAAAATCGGATGAGTGAGATAGAAAACCCATGGACAGATGCACATATCTAAATCATTTCCAAATGGACGAAACATGATTACGTAGTACGTTGAATCGCCTCCTAGTTGATAGCTTATCTGAAATTAGAAAACAGTTTTCGGAGTATTCAATCCTATCTCTTACCACAACTAACGAACTTGAAACATAAGAAAAAATCATTGAAAAGGTGGTAAAGGTCAAAGAGACTTCTGCTTTGTATGATTTTTTGGATCTGCCGTTGTGACAAAAAGATGACTTTAGACGAGCTAGTTTAATTAACAGAATAGAGTTATTGATAAGACTAGCTGCCATCCAGAGCATATTGTTCGCAACAAGAAAGTAGCTGTTTTTCAGCTAAATTTGGAAGGAATATTAGACAAATCACTGAATAATAAACTTACTCCGAAAAGAGAGTTTTGAAATCCAACAAGTACCGATCCAAAAGGAAAAGGACCTCTTGCCTGGGAACAATAACCAACGGCTGGAAACATGAAAAAAGTGCTAAAAATAGGATAGATAAAAATCATTGGAATAGCAATACGAAGTAGGGTTCGATTGATCTGGAAATAATTATGTTTAAAAAATGAACCAATCCCTATCTTAAAAGTTCCAGATGTATTTTTGTATTTCATTACCTTCATTTGGTTCTGAGGATATGCAATCAGAATCAATCTCATAGTGGACACGAGAAAAGGAAACACCATACTTGCGTAATTTACATAGTAGGTCGCAGTATATAAAACAATCAAGTAATGATTTGGTTCAACACTTGCACACCAACTTGTGAATACTCCAGCCGTAAAGAGTCGGACGAAAACGAAATCAAGGATGAAGAACAGAATACTCTTAAAATTAGTTTAATGGTGATGTTTGCTAGCTTTATAGCCAAAGTTTGCGAATCTACGCTTTCTGGGCCCAGATCCTCAAGATTCCCAATTCTCACAGTCGAAACCAGTGCGACAGTACACTTCTAGCGCGTCGAGATAATGTGTTTTTCAGAAAACCGCGCCAAATTTTTTGCGGGCCTCGACGCCCTATAAGTGTGCCGTCCCATTGGTTTCAATTGTGCGACTTGGGAATCTCGGGGATCTGGGCGTCACTTTGGAGTGCTTTCTGGGCCCAGAAATCCTAGATTTAGGAACTTTGAACGTAATTGTTGAAAAGGTGTTGAATGCACGTATATTCATGATAATTATAGTTACTTACCACAAAATATGCGATTGAGATTGCACTGAAAAGAGGAACATTCACATTTTTATCTCTCATTCCGTACAGTAATTTAACAAAGATTCGAAGTATAATGATAATTGTAATTGGCACATAGAGAAGTGGCAATGTAAGCAGAAACATTGGGAGGGTGAAAAATGAGAATTCGAAATTGATGTAACTTTCATTTCCATGTATACCAGGAACTGGAGGAGTATACGGTACAGCAGGAGCCGACATTCTCAAAAATAGAAAGAAGAATAAATGAGTCTGAACGGGGCGGAGAGCCAACTAGAGACGAGGTTGTAATTAGTCTGGATGCTGAAATCACAAATTATATCTCTCGTATCACGTTGTGAAATATTCGAAGAAACGTTTTCAAGATCTCACAAATTTTGAGATTGGTAGTGGATACATATAATTTTGTTTGGAAAGAGTGTGCACATTTGTTGAACTTGGTGATAAACAACTCGACAAAGATTTTTGGAATCATGTTGGCAGATTTAGTAAAGAACAGTATTTAAGAGTGATGGGTGAAACCTATTTTTCCCAAATCCGTCAAACGGAAAAGGAAATGGAAGTCGGAAGGTTCTTTTTCGGGAAACAGAAAGGGAAACGGAAAAAATATCAAATAACTTCTGGAAAACGAAACACAGAAACCGAAACGGAACGAAAATTTCTTTTTTCCGTCGATTTCAGGATTCTTTTCAGCTAACTCGAAAAACCCCTTAACGAATTGAAGTTTAACGGCCAGAATTGCGCCACTTTCTATGATTGTTTCGAACGAGTTCTTATTCAATTTTTTCGTCGTTTTTAAAATTTTCCGTTCCGATTCCGCTTTAAAAAAAAACTGGGAAATTTTCCGGAAAACGGAAACGGAAACTCCTTCTACTGGTATGGAAGTTAAACAGATAGCCTAAACCTAATTCAACTAACCAAAGATGGGCATTTTCAAAAAAAAAACGTTTGATCTCGTTATGCAAACAATTTTCGAGAGTGTGAAAGGGTGAAATTTGGATAAACTAATTTCAAAATTTCGAAAATCCGGAAACCTCCAATTATCCCGAGACATTTTGATTGCTCGTCTAAAAGTGATGTATGCGATTAGAAGTGCACTCGGGACAACTTCTATTTTAAGAAATACGCAAGAAGCATTGGGATTCATTAGAATCAACAAAGAGGTATTGTCTTTGTTTTGCAGGAGATTTTGTAGAATATTACTGAAAACAGAAGATAATAAACAAAAAATGTGTTTTGTCAACAAAAAAAAATACTTCGAATCGAACAAAAAATATATCTCCCAATATTCTTATTTGTGAATTGAGAGTGGACTCAAAACGCACGAGAATCGAGATAATAAATCCAGGAAAGAAACATATTTTAGGTTACTGTAGTTGTCGTTGTGGGACCTTCGATCACGGCCACCAGATTTTCTCCTCCACAGCTCCGATTTGTGCAACAGAATAATAGGTATTTAATTTTCTCAGTTTCAATAGCAGAAATGTCTTGAATCTCATTAACCTTGGAAAATGTAAATTTTGTCTCTTCGATCTGTTCATTCTTCTTCTCCATTTACTTTTTGGGTGCAGATACGTTTGGAAACTGAATGTTAAGGTTTCACAACGTGTAGTTCATGAACCAATAAAGTATCCATGTGATAGTGTTTCTGAAGGTTGATTGCATTTTTCCGATAACAGATACTGTCTTGAGACAGAGAAGAAAAAGGAAATAGGTAAACTATCTCTGTCCATATTGTTTCTTTGAGTTCATCTTTGATGGTATTTAAAAATGAAAAAATAACAAATTTTGAGTAGCATCATGTCATTCTTTCCTACTGTTTTTAGATTTGTTGTCTTCCACACAGCACTGTATTCCAGTTTTACTTTCTTACGCTTTCTATTTTCTTCCATTTCAGTTGAGAAAGTTAACATTCTCAACAAATTATGTCACGAAAATTGCAGATGCCGGAAAACTATCCGTCGTTCATTGTTGATGCGTTCACCTCAAAAAGCTTCGCAGGAAATCCGGCAGCAGTCTGTCTAATCCCTCAGGTATTAGTTTTCATAATCCTTGTCCACACTCTGTTGTTCTTAAGGTTCTAAAAGATGAAGCATATTTAAAAGTAGCAGCGGAGTTCAATCTTTCTGAAACTGCGTTTCCCGTTCCAATCGGTCCATTTGATTTCAAACAATGTTCTCAATTTTCTCTTCGCTGGTTCACTCCGAAAACCGAGGTTCCATTGTGTGGGCATGCAACACTTGCCACATCGCATGTTCTTTTCAATGAAATCGGAAATGTTAACACTGAAATCAAATTTGACACTCAATCCGGAGTTTTGATTGTAAAGAAGGATGAATCTGGGAATGTAGAAATGGATTTTCCTGAATACGATTTGACATCGATCAAATTCAATGATACCCCAAATCCACTTCATGGAATCTTATCAGAAGTGAGGTTTACGAGTTTCATTCACAAAAAACGTTTTCAATTACAGTTCGAAGCCCCGCCATTTTTATTGAACATCATCAAATGTGCCGTTCCAGCTGAGGTCAGTTTTTCTTCTCTAATTCGTTAAAAATTAGTTTCAGATGTCAATTGAATCCGTTGTGTATTCTTCGAAATCGAAAAAATTAGTCATAGTGGTTGATCCAGAAACCACAAAATTCGAATTAGAGTCATTGAAAACTGACAATTCGAAAATGTTGGAACTTCATGATGGTAGCTTTGTCCGAGGACTGGCTATTACTTTTTGCCCATCAAATCCATTGACTCAAGGATTCACCGATTCATCAAACGAACCATATGACTACGTCTGCCGATACTTTGCTCCATGGGTTGGAATCGATGAAGATCCAGCAACTGGTTCTGCTCAATGTGTGATGGGACCATTCTGGTCAATTATGTTGGGAAAACACGAGTTGTATGCTCTTCAGGTCTTTTTATTTCTGATTATATTGTAAAGAAAGAAATACAAACTGTTTTAGGCATTCCCTGGGCGTGGAGCTCAATTTCGAGTACGTCTTCGCGACGATCGTGTTGTCTTGAACGGACCATCTGTGACAATTCTACGAGGAGAAATCGCTCTAAATCATTATTAAATTTCATTTTTATCGATTTTACTGATTTGTGATTCTTTATAAATTCTCGATTTCTTCTTCATCCCCTTTTTGTGTTTGTTTTCATCAAATCAAATGCAATGGCAGAGTCTTCGGAAAGTTAAACACAACGACTACAATTCTCCTTTTCACATGTTTTCCTTCTTGTGACCAACTACTGTTGACCCCATCATGTCCTTCATCTTTCTCGTTTCTCTTTCCCTTTTTCTAAACCTTTTGCAAAAGAGAAAATCACACTAACAGAATCACAAATTGTCACGAATGACTGAACACTATCCATCCTATATTGTCGATGCTTTTGCGAAAAAACGGTTTTCTGGAAATCCAGCAGCAGTTTGTTTGATTCCTCAGGTAATTTAACATTGTTCAAATTTTTCCAAAGTTTTATTTTCATTTTCAGGTCAAGAAAGATGAAGAGTACTTAAAAATCGCCTCCGAACTGAATGTGTCTGAAACAGCATTTCCAGTTCCAATTGGTTCTTCAGACTTCTCAAAGTGTTCTCAATTTTCTCTTCGCTGGTTCACCCCAACAGCCGAAGTACCTTTGTGTGGACATGCAACACTTGCCACGTCGCATGTTCTGTTCAATGAACTCGGAAATCCAAATCAAGAAATCAGATTCAATACACAGACAGGAATTCTCGTAGTCAAAAGAGATGATGCTGGAAATGTTGAATTGAATCTGCCAGAATATGATCTAACATCCATCAAATTCCATCATACAGTAAACCCATTGCATGGCGTTTTCTCGGAATTCAAAGCACCACACTTCCTTTTCGATATTGTCAAATGTGTGGTTCCTACGGAGGTTTGGATGGATTATATTGAATTCAGAAGAAAATTTAAATTTCAGATGAGTATTGAAGCATGTATGTATGCAGCAAAACCTCGAGTTCTTGTAGTTGTCGTCGATCCTCTTACAACAAAATTCGAGTTAGAAGCTGTCAAAATTGATGTTCCGAAAATTCTTGAAATTCAAAACAATGGGTTCCTGCAAGGAATCGCTCTGACCCTTCGCCCGAAGAATGCACTAATCCAAGGATTCACTGATTCCTCTGATGAACCATTCGACTACGCATGCCGATATTTCGCTCCATGGCTTGGAATAAATGAAGATCCGGCTACTGGCCATGCACAGTGTGCAATGGGCCCACTTTGGTCAAAGATAACTGGGAAAAAAGAGTTATACGCTTTACAGGTTTTCCGGAAACTTCATTTTCAATTCTAAAGTATGAATTTTTAGGCATTTCCAAATCGCGGAGGATTGTTCCGTTTGCGATTTCATGATGGTCGAGTCATCCTGAATGGTCCATCTGTAACAGTGCTTCGAGGAGAGATCACATTAGATGAACCTACTTTTTACTGAAATATTTTTCCTTGAATATTTAAAAATAAATACAATTTTATGGAAATCACAAATCACAAGAGAGAAAAATGAGAATTTTTCAAGACAAACACTTAAGGGGAGGGGGTAAGAGTAGAAATAAAAAGGGACCCGCAACTAGTCATAACTCGCAGAACTGAATCACAAATACACAAGGAAAATGGGGTGGTGACTATGGAACAGAAAAATCAAAACATGGAATTTTTTCAAATGATCATGGAAAACAAAATTATGTTAGTAAGTAAAAATGATAAATTAAAAATAAGTTAGGTTTCGAGTTTGGCATATCGCATGCCGTTTCGGTATTCGTGACTATTGTCTGTGGCATTGTTCGCTTCGAGATTTGCACTCTGCCATTCGGATTGACCAGCAGCAGCTCCACCGGCTCCCGATGCACCTCCAAGTCCTCGAATCTCCACTTCCGGTCCTGAAACACAATCCCAATATTGTTTCTAATATCAAAAATTAATTTCAAACCTCCCCATGGTTCGCCATAAGCAGGATTCTCAAACGCCACCGTTGGTTGATTGGGATCATTCCTTCGGCCGATGAACTTTCCAAATGGATACGGTAGTTCTCTTCGTTTGCCAAGAACCGCAAGTCCAGCAATACAAATACCGAAAACAACAAGAATCACAATGATCCAGAAGGCTGATGAAGATCCTTTAGCAGATGGAGAGCGATTGGAATCCGAATCTTTGGGGACTGCAGCATAAGTGAGAGGACTGTTTCCAAGAGCATTAGCAGCAAGGATTCCAACTTCGTAGTCTTCTGATGTGTCCAGTTCAATTTCAATCTGAAACGAGAAAATGGATTTCGTATCATAACTACCAAAAAGACTCACATTCTGTTGAACAGTTTTCAGTTTATGCCAGTCGTCATCCTGCGCATTGTTTGTCTTTCTATAGTAAACGGCAAAGTATTTGTAGTCTTTCGTCAATGGATAATCCCATTCAACATTCACTTTTCCTTCAGAAGATTTGACTCGAACATTCGAAACTTTGGTTGGAGCATGTTCATGACTTTTAACGAAGCAAGACATAATTGAAACTGCGTGATCAGAGCAGTCGACATCTTTTGAGAAACTGTCTCCAGAGCACAATGGGAGACATTTCGGTGTAACTCCACTAGCAATACAACAATCTGAGTGATCGCGGATGTCAGAAGCGCACTTCAGGAGAGAAGTGGCAAATCTGGAGCAGTTTTGAGTTTTCGCAGAAAGAGCAACACGGCCAATGTTACAGGCTTGTAAGCAGTCTCCTGTGATTCCTTCATCTTCGCAACATTGAAGAATCATTTTGGGATTGACTGGAAGGGTTTCCGTTGTGAAAATCACTTCAGATGATGCCTCAACTGGCTCAGAGTCTTCAGAAGTGACAACACATTTGTAGATTCCTGCATCGTCTTGTTTGACCTTGCGAATCTGGAACCATAAATATAACTATATAAATATCTTATTGTAATACTTACTCTCCACTTGGCAACATATCCCGCTTCGGTCTGTTTGACATTCAAAAATCCACGTGTCGCCTTCTTTCCATCCTTTTCAAAAGAAATCTTTGGGTCCAGTCCTCCTCCACGATAGATGCATTCGATTTCAACAGATTGATCATCAAGTACTCGAATCTTGTCCTTCTTCATTGTTACAGACGCCTTTCTTTGCAACACCAAATGTTTCATTGCCACATGTTGTCTTCCATCCGTATCTGATACTGCACAGGTGGCAGTGTCTATTGACTCATCAGCTTCTGTATCTAGAATCACCCAGAAAACGCCATGATCGTTTTGAACGACTTGGTGTCCGACAGTTAAATCAATATTCAAATGCTTTTTGGCGTTTGGAAGTGAGCAATTGACGGTGATCTTCTCTCCTGGCATGAGTACTCCATCCTTATGATCTGGTTCTATTGTGATGACTGGTTCCGGAAGTCCCAATGAATCTTTTTGAGCCAGAACTGTGATAATCGAAGAACTGCGACTAATTTTGTCTTCTTCTTTGGCCGTCACATATACGTAAAAGAGAGCATCTTTTCTCAAATCTCTCATCACAACCCAAGTGTTGTTAGTCTTCAAAGTGGTCCAAGTGGAGCTGTGCTCTGTTTCCAAATAGTAAAGTGTATACTCAATTGGATGAGATACAGGATCGTTGTTTCTACGGACTGTGACACGATTCCATGTGACATTTACACGTGGTCCAGAATTCCAGGCAACATGAAGTCCATCCGGAGCGACTGGACGATCTCCGTCGTACACTTGGGCAGGTCTAGTTACGAAACTGACATTCCATGATGGTGGACCTTCTCCTTGTAAATTGATTGCCGTGACTCGTACAGAATAATTTGTAGCCGATGATAGATCAGAGAATCTATAAATATCAGCTGTACTATTTACTGTATTGACGAGAGATCCATTGCTTGCGAAAAGTTGAACACGGAAAACAATAACATTCGCTTCGACATCTTCCCATGTGATGGTTGCTGAATCCTTCGTGATAGAAGTGACTTCAAGATCTCGGACAACAGCCGGAAGGGCAAGATGGAGTCCGTTGAAACAAGTACGGTATTTAGGAACCTCGGCAAAACACTCATCCGTAGAGACTGTGAATGGATGCATACAGGCGGTTTGGCATGGCTTTGATACATCTTCCCTCATGCAACATCTCAAATGATCATGTCCTTCGGATGCACATTGAACCCAGATATTGAGATTCTCCTTGCAATCTTCTCCAAGTGTGGAATTGTATTGGCAACTGTTCATGCACTTTTCTGGCATCTTCTGATCCTTGCAACATGATGTGAATTCTTCCGAAGAATGTGTACCGTCATGTGGACAACAGTAAGAGAGATCCGAACCGGCACCAGTACAACGGAATCCATTTGGACATGGATTCACGTTATCACAAATCATCACACGCCCATCATTCATATAAATCGGTTCTCCAATTGTGCACAAAGGTGGTCGAGTGGTTGGAAGAGTTGTGAATAGTTTAGCGGTTGATGGAAGTGATGTTCCATTAGTAGAATGAGATTGAAGAGTGAGAACGTATTCTGAATCCGGATCCAATCCAAGTTCCACGTGTGGGCTCTGAACATTATGCACGGTGCGAACCGGCTCTCCATGTTCGTTTTTGCGAATGAACATAGTGTAGTTCTCGACGAGATGGGCGTTAGAATCAGGTTCCGTCCAATGTACCGTAACACTGTGTGCTGTCAAGTCGGAGATAGTAACGTTTCCAGGAGCAGATGGATGTGTCTCATATCCTTGACGAATACATTGATAGATTGCTTGAAGATCCAGATTAAGGCACAGAACTGAATGCACTCCAAGCTCTTTTGTACTTCCAGAACAGATTTCTAAACAATCGTGTTGGACACCCTTCTTCAGACAGCAATCTGTATGGTTTCTTCCGTCAGCAATACATGGGGATACTTTGGGCCATTCGGCACGGCAGGTAGTGGCAATTGTGATTGTAGAGAACGATGACGGGTCTTCAGCAACATTACACATTTTGGAAGAGCAGAATGATGAGACGTTGGCAGCAGTACAACATTCTGAAAATTAGATTCTTGTTTTTGTGCAGCTGAATTTTGGGATCTTACTCATTGCATCTGGCAAACTTGCATTATTCTTGACCATATGAACATTTGTCGATGCGATGTTGCGAACAGATGGAACACTTGTTCCATATTCATTTCGAGCCGTTACATAAACAATATAGCGAGTTGCAGATCGGAGATCCGGAAGAGTGACACATTTGTCCGTAGTGTTAATATTTCGGAATGCGAACTCTCGAATCGTTGTAGAATTGGTAACATCATCTCTAGTCACAATCACCATAGTCGATCTCTTTTCACGAACTGCAACCTTGATTCCATCTGACTCAAAATCAACATCTCGTTTGCCACGTGGAGCAATTGTTGAATCCTTGACAACTTCTTCTGCGTCATCTTCCTCTTGTTGATATTCGTCTTCTTGGATATCTCCAATGTCCGAATAGTCTCCAGTAAGAAGAGGAAGACCCCTGAAATTTTAGAACAATGGATTACTGTAAAATTTGCAACAACAACAACTCACATGTCGCCTCCTAGAAGTGGAAAATTTGGAATCTCTTTGTAATAAACAGCATAGTCGAGAATCGGGAACATCTTGTTGGATTCGTGTTTCTCAGGTTCTTGCCAGCAAACAGATAACTTGTCATGATCGACTGGATTCACTTCGATAGAAGTTGGTGGATCGGGATACGGTACTGAAATTGAAAACCTGCGATTCTCATAGTTCATAGTTTCTTTGGTACTATTGGAAACATGCGGGGACTTTTATTCTCGGGACACTACAAACATGCATAACAAAAAAAGGACCACAGCAGAATGCAATATACAAAACAAAAAATGAAATAGGGGATCTATCCACGGACAGGTTTGTCAATCATGAATGCCGATAGATGGGCGGCTGCACCACCGCCACGAGCCGAGGACAAACCCCCTTTCTCGTTCGATAACATACGGTAGGCACGATCCAGGCAAGAAAAGATCTCTGGAAGGTAGTAGAGGCAGAGACGATGAGAACGACGAAGCATCTGGAAGTCTCCGGAGCAGAAATCATAGCAGAAACTTGGCACTAGTTGAGTTTTGCAGCAATGAACATGGGAACGAGTTCCTCCTTCAGTGGCACATGAAAGGAAATGTTTGTAGTCGTCAGTTTTGCAACTTGTGGGGTCGAAATGATGTTGATCCATCTCGGATGGTTTACACATTCCTCGGCACAATGGAGAGATTCCTTTTTCTTGGCAACATTCGGAATGGTCGTAGGAAATATTTTCATGGAATCCTCCCTTTAGACCGGACTCTGAAAATGTATCATATTGAAATGATAACAGGAGCTTGGAATTTTGGTTGTGCACAATTACCCGGACTTCAAAAAAGCGGGTCTACCATAATACCTGTATTAGAAGGGCATCTTAACTTTGAGCCGATTTTTATCGGTTCCTGTCAAAAATATAAAAAAAAGTTGTCAGCTGATAAATTGTTTATCATAATATCAGAAGCGTTTGGTCAGTTGGCATATTTTTAGTATCTTGCATAAGAGTTGAGATAATTGAGCTCAAACTTGACAGTATTGGGGCACCTCTAATACAGGTTTTACGGTATTTTTAAAGATACATAAGTATTTTGGAAGAACGAAAATTCGTAGGAATATATTTAATTTTATGTTTGAAACAACTTTGACCAGCGATAACTAGGCTCAAAGATGATCAAACAAATTGGAACTTAGTTAGTTTACAGATTAGTTTTTTGAATTTTTGCACTCTGAATTTGAGCCTAGTACAACGCTTCACTCAAATTGTATGCTAGGACAAACTTGACTCCGTTCGGAGCCACAATATAGAAACTGTAACGTAACCTACCAAGAACTTCCACTTGAAACTCGAGTAATTCGGATTTGTTTCCCAACTGACAGCGGTATCTTCCAGATTCATCAAATGTCAGATTCCGTAAAACCAGTGTGAATTCCTCTCTTCTACACGAGCAGCACTGGTTATCCACACAAGAATACCCTTCTCCACATGGTTTCGAATCATCACACTCTCCGGAACAGCCTTTTTCATAGTCAACCTCAATGGAATGTTGGAACTTGTATGCTTTTTCGGAAGTCGTGTTCAAGAATTGAGATCCTTTGGAAATCTGATTTCCATCCTTATACCAAATGACATCATTCGAGCAGGTGTTTAGAACACACTGAAGTTGAGTTGCAAAACCTTGAATAACAGTTAAGAATCCTTCATCGTCAGTGGTCAGGTGTGGTCCATCAGATCCTTTTTTGGCGGTTGACGTCGAATTCGAGGTGTCTAACCCAGCTGACGATGACAGAAAGGCAAGAAGGAGGACGGCATGACGCCACCTCGGCATGGCTGTAAAATTGAAAAAAATGTATTGTAGACGTTATTATTGTTACGACGGAAGAGGCCTGTGAAAATGTGAAAACAAAAAAGACTGACGAGAAGACGAACGGAAAGAGAAAGGGTGGGTAATTGAGAAAAGGCAACAACTGTTTTAAAACGTTTTTCAAGTTCAGGTTACTTCTTGTTTTTTCTGAAGGAATCAATCTTTTCAACTAGAGAGCTAGTAGTCTTCTTTCTAGTGGTTTTAAAGAAACTTAATCGAATTTTTGGGCGACAGGTGAAGTGAAAACTGACGACATTTCTATGAATAATTAATATGAGAGATATTGACCCTATAGGAGAAATATAAGAACAGAACTCTCTCACTCAAAATTCATGTGACTACCTAAACAAGCGCCAGGAAAAGGGGACACAAGGAGGTAATGTAACATTCTGAAGATAGACATTGCGGTGAGAATAAAAAACTTTTACAAAATATCGAGATGGGCGATGCGAATCGGGTCGATACAGGTAGAAGAAAATACAAGGGAAAGAAGGTCGAAATGAGAGAGGCAGAGAGAAGAAAAGGCCCACTTTGAAAACGGATCGTTCGACCTTGGCACATACCGGGAACATGGATAACTAATCAACTGAGGTCTACGATGGGGAGGTCAAATTTTTTTGAAAAGGAAAAAAGGATAAATCAATTTGTATAGAAAAAAAGTTCCTACCATCGAAAGGGCACTGGAATGAGAAAAATTGTAGATTATCAAAAATTCTGTTTTTAGCCTAGATATGTCCCCCATCTACCAGGATTCATCTACATAAACCGCAACAAACAGAGAGTAGCTAAATACCAATTATCTCAATTGGAATCTCGCACAGCATATGTTCGTGTACGTCTACCTAAAGACTACCTCTGTCTACCTAAAGAAGGGATTATCTCGAATAAATCAATAGTTTTTTGGAGCAGAGGATAATCAATATGCGTATTTAGATAGCCAGAAAACAATATTGAATGAATACCTTGTTTAAACCAGTAAACCTATTTTGTATGATTATCACAAAAAAAACAAAACAGCTGATAATGTAGAATCTGGGATAACATATAACAGGTACACCGAATGGGTGATCAAAGAGGGTTTGATAAATCACTTTGGGGCTACTGGAGACCGACATTTGTGAATGTTTGGACAGGAAGACGACGACAGAAAGTGACATACTTTTTGAAACGGGTAGTGGATAAAAGAAGAAGAAAAAGAAAAGGAGGAATTGAAAATTAGGGGTGAACGAAGGAATGAATGAATGTATGGAAAAATAGAAGAAAAAACTTATTAGAGTTAGTAAAATTCGAAGACGACGTTCACTTCATGATGTACATTTTAGCAGGTTTAGATACTTCTGTTTCCGGAATTTCGTTATGGTTGCGTTCAAACAGAGTGCTAATTCAGTACAGATTTCTATTCATTTTCTTTCCTTAACTATCATTCCTTCCAAGAAGTTTTTTCCCGCCTGGAATTTTTTCAAGAGAACAAAACAATCGTTGCCCGAAACCACTCACACCAACATTTAGAAAGCTTGTGATGGGGAAAATATCAAAGACTATAGTATACAAATAGAAAAAAACATGATATCCGACAGGCGGTTTCTGATAACTGGAAAATTCACACCGCGCATTTAACCAGGAAAAGAGCTCCTTCTTTGTTCGTTCTCGCGTCGCGGTTGCTGCTCTCCGCGCAGCATTCGGCTTATTTGTTGTTTTGGGGTGGAGAAAACTTGAGAGTAGCGCACACGAGTTCCCTCTGGTGGTGCCGAGCAGACACGCAGACAATGTTGTTCTCCCTGCGTCTTCTAATCCATGCATTTTCTTGTTTATTTTTTTTGAGGGGGCAACAGCCAACAGTGGCATATTTCATATGGGAGACCGGATTAGATTAACGTGTTTCCATAGAAACTCATTCCAGGCGAGACCTTCCACTACCGTAGGTAGTGCAGAAAAAGAGCAGATGATGAGTACGAATAGATAATACGATATTTGTCTGCAGGATTCTCATTTCTAGATGAACATCATTAGATTCCCAAGAAACAACATTGTGAAGCAAGTTCCATTCAGTCTTTTCCACTACCATTCCCACGACGGAAGGTCGTAATAAATTAAACTAAATTAAATTAATCGGGAACACTACTGCCAAACTTCCGTTGGTTTCCTGATATTATCTATCTATCAGCTTCTTTTTATAGTTTTTCATAATGAAGATCGCTAATTATTGTGTATTTGCAATTTAGATGATTTTCCAGTGGCTTCCTCTTTTTCTATGTCCTTCTCTTTTTCAAAACTCCTTCTCCAATTCCTCTGTTCATTTCCTCCTTCAAAGAAAAAAAAGAGAGGGAGTGCGCGAAAGTGAGAGAGCGCAGACAGGGAAGTCGCCGGTACGACACTCCGTTCGTACTTGTGCGCTTTGTTTAGCGAGTTTGATTTTCGTACAAATTTTGAATGAAGCTGTAATTTTGTTCGTTCGTTCCTCTTCACGCTCTCCCACAGAACATTTCCGAACTGCAAATTAATTTTTGATCTACAGAAAAAAAAGTTTGGCGCGATCACAATTGCAGGTCTAAAACCATAATTTTAGAATTTTTTATCTGATTTTGTGAAGTTCCAAGATGATTCAAATAATTCTTAAAAAATTAATTAGTGGTTATAGATTCATGTATGGTTCTTTTCCGGAAGAAAAAATGTCAAAAATGGTCATTTTTGAAAGTTTTTTACAGGAAAAATATATCTCCTCTTTCAGTTTTTGACATTCCTAGGAGTTCTATAGCTCAAAAAAACCGCAATTATTTTCTCTAAATTTTCTATGAATGAATTTTTA